TGAGGCATAATCATGGGTGGAGGTTGAGGGTTGTGTTCACTAGCTCACCGGCATCCTTGGCGACAGCCGTGGCATTGCAGTGACCGGTGCGGCGGAGGATGCGGAGCGGACGGATCCCCCCGCGAGACTCAGTGCCGGCTGGCCGCACTGCCAGACGCTTCTTCAGGGAGAGCATCGCGCGGCTGGGGCTATGGCGATGTCGAGACGGCTTCAACGACCAGGGTGTGCAAGGGGTGTGGGTGTGCGGAAATGAAGAGGGGCAGGGGAGCTCTAGCCGAGAGAGTCAGCGAGATCTGGGAGCAATTAGATGCTGCACTGCTTGCAAAAAGCACCGAAACAACTTTGAGACGCAGGGGGCATGGCGCATGGCGGCCCCCACCTGCATTTACGGCCAACTTGAAGCCAGGAGGTCCCGGGTTTTAATTTCAATTGGTAGTTGAAGGCCTCAGTTCCATCCACACGTGTGTTGCTGTAGTCCAAGCTCAACGGTTTGCTGAGAGTGGAGCCCGATGGCGACACTGAAGGTCCACGAGCTGACGATGAAGCAGGTGGCGTGCGTCTTTCAACATGATACCGACAAGAACATCCGCAGGCTGGCCACCAAGATGAGGCAGGTGGGTGGGCGGGCAAGTGGGTGGGACCAGGGGTGGGAGATCTGCACGTGAAGGCAGATCTTGACGTCCGTAGATGAAAGATGATCTTCAACGATTGGGGATCTGTATGGATGAAGGACAGATCTGTTGTTTTCTCCCTGTATGTGTGTGTGTGCACTGAATCAGCACATGATGAACGGGGCGGCGTTGGCGCACATGGCCCGGATGCAGTACCACAACGCGCTGGAGGACATGGAGAGATACCTGGGCATCGAGGCCTACGGCGAGCGGCTGGCGCTGCTCTACTGGATACACCACACATACGAAGTATGTACGATGGATGGATGGATGGATTGGCAAAGATGCCCGTGCTCCCTCCCTTTGTGCAGGTGCGTGTGCCGGTTGGCGGCGGCCGTGGGCGTCGCCAGAAGCGGCGCGTCGTGCCGACCAAAGCCGCATAGCTCTACCACAACACACGACAAACATTGGTAGGTGTGGTTCGTGGGGGATGGCCTTTTGTCGTTGTGTGAGGCTGTGTGCATGATTCATTCAGGTCATCGGTTTGAGTCCTCTGGTAGCACGGTAGCATTGGCGGACGGGCATCGACACACGCACACGCACACACAAATGGAGAGATGTAGATAGATGTAGAAAAGGAGGCCATGTGCGTCATGCAGTCTGTCTAAGATAGTCTTGCCTCGAGGGTCTTGTCTTGTGCAGATACACACATCCATACATCCGTCCATCGACCTGTCTATGCCGTGTGCCGTGCTATGCGTGTGTGAGATGCGAGTGTGCCTGCCCACATGTGACCTATCTACACGCGTGTATTCAGAGACTGTCGGTCCATCATGGAATAAGGGTCTCAGCGCCATTGCGTGTCTTCAAACTTGTGAGCATCCTCAAGAGGACACACACACGCACACACACACACACACGCACACACACGCACACGCACACGCGCACAGAATCTGATGGACGTCTCACACACCATCTGTCTATCTGCTGAATATGCGGACAGACCACATCGCACGAATGACGCGGACACAACGAACACAGAGGGCCGAGAACAGAGAGGCCTCACAGCTGGAGAAAAGCAATACGCACCCATACAGCCATCAGAGACCCCTCAATCAGTCTGACCTCACACTCACACCACGGTGAGCACCTCCATTTCATTGGCCATGAAGTACTCATTGCACCCAAACACAGCATTGTCATCCCAATTCCTCACCCCCACATAGCCCTCAGGCACCCCGGTGATGACCTGACGGCAGCTGCGCATATCAACATCCCGTGGCTGGAGCCATGGCTGGAGTTTGGCTTTGCGTTGGGCGATCACCCAACTGCCACCCTCACTGCCCAACTCTAGACACGGGATGAAACCCAGACTGATCCACAGCATCGGCCCATTCACTGACCCCTCCCGCCCGGCCACACACACAAACCCTTTCCCCCCCTCTATCTTGGTGGGCTTGTCGAAATGGCCGGCCAGTGAGAAATGCCACACATCACACTCGTATTTGGTCTTGCCTCTTGGGTCGTCGGGCACCCGGATTCCGGTACTGATGAAGGTGCCGAAGGCGTACTTGTCCTCGCGGATAACGAACACCAGGCCTCTCGCATGGCCCACACACCGCAGCAAATCGCCATACGACGGCCCGTCACGTGATGCGCTGAATGAAGAAGAACGCACACGCACACACGCACGCAGACACACACAGATAGGCACACGGAGTCAAACGATGGACGATGCCAATGACAAGAGCAGCGTACCTGTAGATGAGCTTCAGTCTGCCCGCAGTTGTCGGTCCGAGAAACCGATAGAGTGCCGCCGACTGGAGCGCATCAAAATTTGCACCCTCGATCACCTGCAATCAAAAATCAGAAGGCAGGATGATCAACACATCTATACTCTCTCTCGCTGACGTGTGTGTGACCTTGAGTGAGAGCAGTGACCGGCCGCTGAGACGAATCACCTCCACTTCATCGGCCATGAAGAACTCACTGCCCCCAAACACAGCCCAGCCATACTCATTCCTCACCCCAACATAGCCATCAGGCACATGACTGCGGGGGATGCGATGACAGCAGCTGCGCATATTACCACTTCTGACGCCAAAATACAGTTCGTCGATCTCCAGCTTCGCCCCACCCACTGTCCCCTCCGGCCCGGCCACATGCACACCCCTGCCTCCCCCCATCCTGGTCGGTGTCTCGAAGTGGCCGGCCAGAGAGAATCTCCACACATCACACATGTAGGCGCTGCTGAAGCTTCTTGGGTCGTCTGGCAGCTGGATGCCGGCACTCGTATAGACGCCAAAAACGTACTTGTCCTTGCGGATGAGGAACACCAGGCCCTTCGTGTTGCCCACACAGCGCAGCAAATCGCCGTACCCTGCGCCGTCACGCGAAGCCCTAAGAACATCAGAGACAGCGGAGAAAGACACATGATTGGTTGCAGTGTCTGTGATGTGGTTTGTGCGTCGCACCTGTACAGCAGAGTGAATTTACATTCGTCCCACATGCCGGGCGCCAAGGTGGAGTGGAGGGACGCACACTCAGTCGAACTCAGACCGCTGCCAACGACCACCTGCATACACAAAGGGGGAGGTGAGGGCAATTGTGACGCTGCAATCACCCCATGGGCATTCTCACCTGGGGGTCGGGCGATTGATTGTCCTCGTCTGTCGTGCTGCGACTTGAGAGGGATGTGAAGATACCGAGGATGTATGATGCCACGAGCGATAACCAAGACCTTCGCCTGGGCTCTGTCGTCCTGCGAGTCGAGAGGGCCGTGATGTCTTCCACCGCACCGTCAGACGCACTGACGATGCCATCATCATCCTGATAAAGCACAACGGAGATTTACAAGAAGCGAGTCGCCGCCTTGTTGTCTGCGTCAGTCTCACCTCTGGTATGTCACTCAGTCGATCGTCGGCAGTAACAGTGACTGCCGACTTGACTGACGAACGAGACCACACCTGCACACACAAAATCACAATGCCTCCCCCCCTGTGTGGGTGTCCATTTCTCGGCGCCTCAGTGACCACAGACGGCAGCCCCTGTCGGTGGCTGCGTGTGTCGCTCCTGTGGATCTTGTTTGGCGGCCTCTCGTTGGTCAGGCGACTCTCTGACGGAACAATCTGCATGGCAACGCAGATAGCCAGAACAGATTGTCACACACAGAGATGGATGACCGGTCTTGGTTTGCGTACGCTCATGGTATTTGGCCCCGAGTGCTGTGATCGCTGGTCGAGCGGCCGATTGCCGGCAGCAGGATCGTCGTCTGGTGGACAGGTGGTGGTCTGCAGCTCACACGGCAGACACACAAAGGCCTCACTTTCCGCCGTAGTGTCAGTACGGCGAGTGTATTACCTGTCGGCTGAGGTCGATGGTCGATCCGATGAGCTGATGTGCCACTCGAATGTCATCACCAGCCCGGATGTCTAGATATGAGCTGATGTGCCCCGACAGAGTGAGAGGCCGGGCTGGGGGATGCGGGTGGGGCGGATGTATTGGGGAAGCCGACACCGACGCCTCTTCTCGGGCCTGAAACGAAAACAGATGGAGGGCGTCGTGAGTGTTTGTTTTGTCTCTCTTGGCTTGCTCACACTCATGGTATTTCGCCTCGAGTACTGCGATTGCCGGTGCAGCGGTCGATGAGCGTCAGCCCTCGGCCGCTGATGACTCACCCTATCGTTAGGACGACGGCCGATGAATCCATCCGCCATTCGCACCGCAGCCGCCTCGTCAACCACTTGGCCCTGCAAGACATCACAGGAGAAACATACGTGAACGAACAAGGGATTCACATCAAATAAGGGATACCAGGCGGTCGTTTGGTTGCATTGTCGTCGGCCGATAGGCGCCACCAGGAAATGCCCTCTCAAGCCCGCCACACTCGTTTTTGGTACTGTCATGGCAGCTGCCTCGCTCTCTACCACGGTCGCCCTGCAGTTCAAAGATAAACCAGTACTCAGAGAGAAGAAAAAATCCATTCACGTAGCTGCGCTCTGCGTACCTTTCTACTGCTGTCTGCTGGGTGTTCTACGGCAGTAGCAGCGAAGGTTTGTGCTGGCACCGATTGCTCTCCTCCAAGGCTCTGACACGACACAGCATGGGGCGCCTTGGTTCTGTGAGCGCTGTCTTTTTTGCGTCTTACGCGGATGTCATCTGATGCTACAACCCCGGGCAAACAGCGGGGCCGATTGGGAGGAGGACGGGAGGGGTCAAGTAGCCAGAAATCCTGAAGACCAACACACCGTGAACATACGCAACATTACACTCTTTGTCTGTTCCACCTGTGGGCATCGGTTCTTGAATGCGGCAATCCAGGTATCGCTGGCCGAAAAACCACGGACGCCCACTCGATTGGCGATCTCCGTTGACTTACTCTTGATGGCAGTGTGAAGAATAATCCTCGGCTGCGGATAGCCTGTAATCCATTGCTGCAGCTCCGTCTCAAGCTGCTGCGTAGCCAGAGGTGACGGTGGAGCGGGCTGAGAAGACAGGTCCGGTGTCGCCGACTGGTAAGAGAGGGGAATGGGTAGGGGATGGGGGTACGGTGGATGCATCGGGGGGGCGGGTCGCCCGGCGGCTGCAGCAGCAGAGATGTGCAGCTCCGGCTGGTGGATAAGTGGAAGGGGAAGGGGATAGGGATAAAGTTGGTGGATCGGGGGATGAGAAGACGCCGCCGCCGCAGCCGACACAGATTGCCCTCCTTCCCGGCTCTGCAACGGCACAAAAGATGTGGTTAGAACATAAGATGAAGAGTGTGACGTGTCGATTGCTTGTCACGTGATTAGTCAGCTGCAACGCGGCTTGAGTGCCATCCGATGTGTCGTATCCGGGCAAAGCGTGGATCCCTTCTTGCGGGAAGGCGTCGAAGTGTTGGTCGCGCGTCATGCCGTCAGTGTCAATCGGGGGAGGTGAGAGGGTAGTTACGGCAGCAGCAGCAGCAGCAGCAGCAGCAGCGAGAGGCTGATCGGCCGAAGTAAAACCCTGGACAGGCAAAGGCGATAGACGTGCGGTCGACCCCTTCCTACCTTCATTCCATCGGTGTCGTTATTGCCTGCTGCTGCTGCAGCGGCAGGTGTGTCAGAGGACGGAAAAGGATTCTGAAAAAGCAGGCATGGAGATCAATGAAGAGTGAACCTCCCACTATCCCCTATCTGTGTGCTCCTTTCCCACCTGCTTGTATCGTCTCCTGAAGTTCTTGATCCAGTTGTCGCTCGCCAAGAACCCAGTGACGCCCAATCGACTGGCAATCTCAATCGCCTTGGTCCTGATATTCCCTGTGGGAAGGCTCGTTGGGTCATCATGGGTGGCCATCCACTGCCGCATCTCGTCCTCAATTGGCTGATACTTGGGCTGTCTGTTGCGCTTCTTGGTGTGGTCGGCGGTCTGCACGCCGGCCTCCCTCTGCTTCTTGATGGCATAGTACCACTGCTTGAAGCGCCCAGGGGGGATGCCCTTCTCCCTCTCGAACTGAGGCATCGAGATGGACTCTCCGCTGCTCTTTCGCCTCTCGAACTCATCCACCAGCTGCAGCCGCTCGCCGATCGTCACCTCGCCCGCATTCTTTGTGCACACCTGAACTCAAGTGAACACACAGACAGAAAAGACGGACATTTGGGTGTGTTTGTGAGTGGGTGCAGTCATTTCACCTGTGAGTTCGATTGACGGCATGATGTGGGCAGAGTTGGTGGGAGTGAACTTGTGCGATGACGTGAGGCTGGAGATCCTTCGGCAACTGGCTGGCCCATAGCCATCAATGGATGACTGAAAAGCGACTGCTGTTCGGGGATACCTTTGATCCACTCCTGGAAGACAGCATCGAACTCTTGATCGCCCATCGACTACGCGAAAAACCATACCACGCTCATGTTCCCCTACCGTCATTCCATCGGTGTCGTTACTGCCTGCTGCTGCTGCTGCTGCAGCGGCAGGTGGGTCAGAGGACGGAAAAGGATTCTGCAAAAGCAGACATGAATCCACGAAGGACGATCTTGTCACTGCGGGCACTCTGTCTGTCCACCTGCATATCGTTGATATTGTCAGCAAGGGATAGAGGCGGTGACGCAGATGGTCCAGGAGGATTCTGAAGAGACAGTGACGCATCGACTATGCCACAAGAATCATTGCACCGTACCTGTGGCTCGTTGCCATCTTGGGGTGCTTCCTGGAGCGCCGTCGCCCCGTCACCCTGAACAAGCAAAGCACAAGGAGATGACAAGCAAACGTGCGAAAGAGTGATGTGTGGTGAGAAAACACATCACCTGTGTGAGGGGGTTGCCAAGCTCGTCCATCATTTGCCTCTTCTCGCGGGAAGCGATGAGATGCGATCGGGAAAGACGCAGATGAGCTTGCACGAGAAAGGTGGCGGGCGGAGTGTTCTGTTGGATGCCTCTCTGTGGGTGCTGTCTTGTCTGCAGGTCCTCTCGTGGGATTACAAGGCAAGATCTCCCCAAACTGCGTGTTCTGGAAGCTTCTTACGCACTTCTTTGACTGCGTGGCTGGCACTGGTGGCTCGAGGAGCCGAATGAAGGCGACAGAAAGCAACACTGGAGAAAAAGGTCAGAAGAAGATCCTCCTGGCAGTTTGTGTGTCAGTGATCGATCGTGGCATACTTACATGGGGCTCACCTTCTGCGTTGCGGATCGACGGCGTAGGAGAACGGCTCCCGCAATCCCGGCTGACAAATCCTCTTGATCGTCTTGACGTCGCTGCCCAGCGTGTTTTCAACATGCGTCTTACGGGCATCTTTTGCTGGTTTGCGAGGGCGCTCTGCCTCCTCTGCAGGGCTGCCGGTGTTGCGGTGCATCATGTTAGGCACCGCAAGTATGCGGCCATCACCGGGGTGAGTGACTAAGTCAGCCTGTGTAGCCATGCGTTCATGCTTTATGTAGTGAGGTGTACGTTCATGCGTTCGTTATGTGATGTTTGGTGTATGCAGGGCACGATGAGCGGCCTGGGCAAGGGCACCGTCATCAGCAGCCTCGGTTGGCTCCTTAAGGCGCTGGGTTTGCGGGTGACCGTCATCAAAATCGACCCGTACCTGGTAAGCAAGGGAGCTGGCGAGTGCACTCAGCCTTCACTCACGCCCCTTTTGTCTGTGTCACTCAGAACATCGATGCGGGAACGATGGCCCCTAGAGAGCACGGGGAAGTCTACGTGCTGAAAGATGGAGCAGAAGTCGACCTGGACTTCGGTACACACGACAGCAACACAGGCAACGCACTGTGTTCGCATACTGCCTGCAGGCAACTATGAGCGGGCGCTGAATGTCACCCTTACTGGCGACCACAGCATCACCGCCGGCAAGATATACCGACAAGTCATCGAGTGAGTCGACACAAACCAAAGCGACTACTTGCGTGACGTCTGCGTGTCTGCCTGAGTGCAGGAAGGAGCGCAAGGGCGAGTATTTGGGCAGGACGGTACAGCTGGTGCCCCACGTGACCGACGCCGTCCAAGATTGGATCGAAAGAATAGCTGAGGTGCCTGTCGACGGCAAAGAAGGGCCTCCAGACATATGCCTCATCGAACTTGGCGGTAGGTCAAGACACGTACCCCTTTTCGTATGTGCGCACATGCGTTTTGTCTGTCCTACTAGGGACGGCTGGCGAGTTGGAGAGTCTGGTGCATCTGGAGGCGCTGCGATGCTTCTCTCGACGAGTTGGTCCCGAGAACTTCGCCCTGGTCGGTGACATCTGTGTCCGCGTTTCCGCAAACATACTGCTGTATGTGTGGGTCATTCAGGTCCATCTGGGGTTTGTGGCCTGCACTGGCGATGGCGAGCAAAAGACGAAGCCAACACAGCAAAGCATCCAAGTATTCGTGCTCGCAGTGAAGGACATTTGTGGCCTCCGTGTACAGGTCATTCAGGAGCTACGTAAATCGGGTCTCAAAGCTGATTGGGTCTTCCGCCGCTCCAAGCAAGCCCTCGGAGATGCAGCGAGAGAGAAGATCGCCCACTTCGGAGAACTCCCCAAAGAGCATGTACGCACAGCACAGTGCATCAGCCAAGCCCGAGGAACCTGTCTAGAATGTGCTTGGTGCCTGCAGGTCGTAAGTGTGCACGATGTGCCCAACCTGTACCGCGTTCCTCTGATGCTGGAGGAGCAAAATGTCGGCGCATTCGTATGCGAGGTGAGCAGGCAGCTCAGGCAAGTCGCGGGGGGCAATGTGGCTCGTTTGTTTGCAGCGTTTGGGTCTCCCGACGGGGCCGTGCAACCTCTCTGGCTGGGCGAGGATGGCAGACAGCATCGACACCGCAGGACGGGAAGACGTCGTAAGCGGACATTTCATTTCTCAGCCCGCCTAATTTAGTTGTGTGCAGGTGAAAATAGGCATCGTGGGCAAGTACACGCGGTCCAGCGACGCCTATCTGTCAGTGGTGAAGGCCCTGCAGCATGCAGCCATCGAGGCTGCCCTGGAAGTCGACATCCGCTGGATCGCGGCAGAGAACCTCGAAACGCAGGTAGGCAGTGGGCGAGGGAGGAAGGGCCATTTGGGTATACACACACCCGTTTATCCCTCTCAGATGCAGCAGAAGCATCCGGCCGAGTACGAGGAAGCCCGGACGGAAATGCAGAATGTCGACGGAGTTGTCTGTCCAGGTGAGACACACACAGCTTTAGCAACCTGCACACACACAAGGAGGTACATGGACGGTCCTCTTTGTGTGTGCAGGTGGGTTCGGTGACCGCGGCGTCGAAGGCAAAATCCTCTCCTCCCGATTCTGCAGACGAAGTAAACGTGCACACGCACTCTCACACACACATATGCTGTGTTAAGTGCAGATTCTAAGCCCTTCCTGGGCATTTGCCTCGGCCTGCAGACCGCCGTTATCGGCTTCGCAAGGTCAGTGAGTCATACACAGCCACCGGCTCGAATGCTGTGCGTGCGCCTCGCGTCGGTTGCGTGCCATCTACGCAGGGATGAGCTGCAGATGGAGCACGCCAACAGCGAGGAGTTCGACAGCAACAGCAATAACCCGAAAGGTAGATAGAATAACACAATGGCAAGGCATCACCCTGCCTGCCTGCCTGCCCTCCTGCCTGTCCTTTTCAGTGGTGGTTTCGATGCCTGAGGTGTCCACTGAGGAGCTGGGTGGCACCATGAGGCTGGGCAGCCGACCGACAGTGATCACGTGAGACGCAAAGACAGACACACGACACAAGGTGCGTCATTGTGTGATCTTGGCCGGATGTCTGCGACCTGTAGGGACCGCGCATCGCTGGCGTCCAAACTGTACGACCACCGACAGACCATCTACGAGCGGCACAGACATCGGTAGGTGAGCGGACGGGCACAGCTGATCAGACAGGATGCATGGATGGCTGCTCAGGTATGAGGTGAAGCCAGCGATTGTCCCTGAGTTGGAAGCAAAGGGGCTCATGTTCACCGGACGTGGCGACGGCGGGCAGAGAATGGAGGTACACACCTCGCCCAATCCAGTAACCACCCACCCAGAGGAGACCTTCGTTTTGCGTTGTTTCAGATCGCTGAGATTCCCAGTCACCCCTACTTCGTCTGCTGCCAGTTCCATCCCGAGTACGAGTCCAGGTGAGTCAGCACGGACACATGGCTCGCTGTTTTGTCTGCTCATGTGCTCTTGTCTGCTCACCTGCCCCATGCAGGCCGATGGCGCCTGCCCCGTTGTTTCTCGGTCTAGTCCTTGCTGCCAAGGGCAGGCTGGAAAACAGACTCAAGCAGAACGGAGGACAGCTCGGGCTGCTTAGCACCGATGCAAACTGATGAAGACGTGTGTGACTTTGTCGCATGCATTTTTCTCTGCATTGATACTCATGTGGTGTTCTGCATGTAGCGAGGAGCAATTCAGACACAAACACACTCTTCGACCTTTCCTCTCACTGAACGGCTAGACGAGGTGAGAGAGGAAGTTAGACCCTTTTTTCTCTCTCATTTCCTCGCGGCCCTTCGCACCCGCTGGAAGTTTTATAGATAGGGAGAGCTTTTTTCGGGCGTACGCCGACGATTTTGAGATTGAGTGTATTCACACACAGTCTGAGTCAGTGTGTAGGGTGTGACTCTGCCCGTCCGTGCATGCTGTCTGTTTTGTACACCGCTGTGGGAGGGAGAGGAGTGATGTGGCAAACGACAATCAGATGCGATGACGGTAGGATGACGGTTGAACAGACACATTATATCAGTCAACATCCAGACAATACGCACACACAACTACATGTACACGTACACAAAACTTCATTTGGCTCTCATCTGAGACGTCTCACACACCATCAAAACAACACACGCCCAAGGGGCCAGGAAAACAGAGACCTCGCGCACCACACTGGATGAAAGCAACACACACCACACGAGTGGCTGTGTCCATATCACCTGTGATGGACAATATCTGCGTCGTCACTCACGAGTGACTGTCCACACAGTGGCATGACGATTATTGTTTCGATGAGTGAGTGACTTGTGTGTCCTTAAAACGCCCAAGAATGAAGAGGCCACATCGGATGACGCAGACACCCACCCACACACACGTACACAGGACTTCATTTGCCGCTCATCTGATGGACGTCTCACACACCATCTGTCTGTCTGCTGAATGTGGGGACACACCACATCGCACAAGTCATACACGGACAGACAAACACGGAGGGCCGGAAAAGGAGGGGCCTCACACACAGCCCACTGGATCAAGGCAGTATGAAGACATATAACCAGCCGTCAAAGCGTGTCACGTGGTTGGTAAATCACATGCAGAACCCAATCCGACCTCTCCCTCACTCTCACACACAGTCAGCACCTCCACTTCATCGGCCATGAATTCCTCACTGCCCCCAAACAGAGCCCGGCCACGCTCATGCCTCACCCCCTCATAGCCATCAGGCAGATCATAGTGGGGGATGAATTGACTGCAGCTGCGCATATCATCAGCAGCGCCACCCTCACAGCCCAACCGGGCGGGAGTGCCATATCCCAAACTCAGCCACCAACCGATGTTCAGCTTTGAACCATTATCTACTTGTCCCTCACGCCCGGCCACACCCACATCCCTGCTGCCCTCCTCCAGCTTGGTCGGTCCCTTGGCGAAGTGGCCAGCCAGCGAGAAATCCCACCCATCACACGAGTAGAAGTGTCCGCCTTTGTAGTCAAGTGGCACTTGGATGTGGTCACTGATGAAGGCGCCAAAAACATACTTGCCCTTGCGGATAACGAACACCAGACCACTCGCATCGCTCACACAACGCAGGAGATCGCCATATGACGACCCATCACGTGAGGCTCTGAATGAAGAAGAACACACACACACACACGCACATCCGCAGACACACACAGACAGGCACACAGAGTCAAACGATGGACGATGCCGATGACAAGAGCACGGTACCTGTAGATGAGTTTCAGTCTGCTCACAGTTGTCAGTCCGAGGAATCGATAGAGTGCCGCCGACTGCAGGGCATCGAGAGTCGCACCCTCGATCACCTGCAACGACCAACAACAGGACGTCGATGCGGCTCTTTCTCGCTAATGTGTGTATGACCTTGAGTGAGAGCAGTGACCGGCCATCAACACGAATGACTTCCACCTCATCAGCCATGAGTTCCCTACTGCCCCCAAACAGAGCATCGCCATCCTCATCCCTCACCCCCTCATAGCCATCAGGCACAGAACGGCTGGGGATGAAATGACAGAAGCTGTGCATATCAGCAGCAGCGCCACCCTCACAGCCCAACCACAGGCTTAGGGGGGGCCCATTGATGAACAGCTTCGCCGGCCTAGCGTCACCCTTATAGCCCAACATCAGGCCCCCAATCCGCAGCTTCGCCCCGTCCGCTGTAAGCCCCTCCAATCCCGCCACATACATCATGTACCCGCGGAGCTTCATATATATCGTTGGTTGGTTTTGGTTGAAGTGGCCGGCCAATTCGAATTGCGACACATTACACCCGTAGGAGTTCACGCCTCTTGGGTCATCGGGCAGCTCGATGCCGGCACTGATAAAGGCGCCAAAGACGTACTTGTCCTTGCGGATGAGAAACACCAGGCCCTTCGTGTCGCCCACACAGCGCAGAAGATCGCCGTACTCTGCGCCGTCACGCGAAGCCCTAAGAACATCAGAGACAACAGAGAATGACACATGATTGATTGCAGTGTCTGTGATGTGGTTTGTGTGTCGCACCTGTAAAGCAGAGTGAATTCACATTCGTCCAACATGGCGAGCGCCAAAACGGAGCGGAGGGCCGCACATTCAGTCGAACTCAGACTGCTGCCAACGACCACCTGCATACATAAAGAGTGATGTGAGGGCAATTGTGACGCTGCAATCACCCCATGGGGACTCTCACCTGTGGGTCGGGCGATTGGTTGTCCCCGTCTGTCGTGCTGCGACTTGAGAGAGCCGTGATGCCATCCGGCACACCGTCAGACCCACTGACGATGCCATCACCATCCTGATGAAGGTACGCAGCGGAGATATACAAGAAGCGAGTCGCCTCAGTCTGACCTCTGGTATGTCACTGAGGCGATCATCGGCTGCAGTCGTTGACACGGACTTGACTGACGAACGGGAGCACACCTGCCTCACAAATCTGCCTTCCTGCTGCGTGGTTGTCCCATTTAGTTGTGTTTGACTGACCATAGACGGCGGACGATTTCGGTGCCTGCGTGTGGCAGTCTTTTGGATTTTGTTCGGCGACCTCTCGTTGGTCAGTTGACTCTCAGACGGCGCCATCTGAATGATAACAAGCTGTCACACAGGCAGATGGATAAGTGGTCTTGGTTTGCTGACGCTCATGGTGTTCCTCTCTGATGGCTGCGACTGCTGGTCGAAAGGTCGGTGGCTGGTAGCAGCAGCATCGTCGTCTGGTGTGCTGGTGGTGTCCTGCAATCAAAACGGCAGACACACAGAGGCGTCAGCCGCTGCCGTAGTTTCAGCCGAGTGTCTTTACCTCTCGGCTGCGGTCGGTGCTCGCTCCGAAACAAATGTCAGCCCTAGCAGCAGCAGCAGCAGCAGCGGCATCAATTGAGTGTGCTGCCGACTGGTGGGCGAGGGGCCTGGGTGGGGGATGTGGGTGAGGCGGATGAAGTGGGGAAGCGGGCTGGGCAGCTGCCGCTGCTGCCTCCCGCTCAGGCGCCTCTTCTCCGGTCTGAAAGAAGCACCAGATAGAGAGTGCTGAGCGTCTAGATTGCCTCTTGCCTGAGGTCCTCCGGGCATTGTGTTAATCCACTCTTGGACGGCCGCATGTAACTCCTGCTCGCTCATCAACTGCACATAAAGAGAATCGAGGCCCTCCGGAATGCAGGCTTTTCCCTTCCTACCGTCATTCCATCGGTGCCGTCAGTGCCTGCTGCAGTTGCAGCTGCAGCGGCAGAAGGCTCAGAGGGCGGAGAAGGATTCTGAAAAAGCAGGCATGGAGATTAATGAAGAGTGAACCTCGCACTGCATTTGTCAGCTTTCCATGACCTGCCGGCATCGCTCTCTGAAGGAATTGATCCAGCTGTCGCTCGCCGAGAAGTCACCAATGCCCAGCTGGATGGCGATCTCCATCGCCTTGGTCCTGATGTCCTTTGGGGGGACCTTTGTTGGGTCCTCATGGCTGGCCATCCACTGCCGCATCTCGACCTCAATCTGGGGATACTTGGGCGGTCTGATGCGCTTCTTGGTGTGGTCGGCGGTCTGCACGCCTGCCTCCCTCTGTTTCTTGATGGCATAATACCACTGCTTGAAGCGGTCGGGGGGGATGCCCTTCTCCCTCTCGAACTGAGGCATCGAGATGCGCTCTCCGCTGTCCTTCCGCCTCTCGAACTCGTCGACGAGCTGCAGCCGCTCGCCGATCGTCACCTCGCCCGCATTCTTTGTGCACACCTGAACTCAGGTGAACACACAGACAGAAAAGACGGACATTTGGGGTGTTTTTCAGTGGGTGCAGTCATTTCACCTGTGAGTTCGATTGACGGGTCAGAGATGGTGGGAGTGAACTTGTGCGATGACGTGAGGCTGGAGATCCTTCGGCAACTGGCCGGCCCATAGCCATCAATGGATGACTGAAAGGCGACTGCTGGTCGAGCGGTCGGTCAGGTTCGGGCATACTATTGATCCACTCCTGGAAGACAGCATCGAACTCTTGATCGCCCATCGACTACGCGAAAAACCATACCACGCTCATGCACTCTCGTCTTCCCTTACCGTCATTCCATCGGTGTCGTTACTGCCTGCTGCTGCTGCTGCAGCGGCAGGTGGGTCAGAGGACGGAAAAGGATTCTGCAAAAGCAGACATGAATCCACGAAGGACGATCTTGTCACTGCGGGCACTCTGTCTGTCCACCTGCATATCGTTGATATTGTCAGCAAGGGATAGAGGCGGTGACGCAGATGGCCCAGGAGGACTCTGAAAAGATAGTGAGGCATCGTCTATGCCACAAGAATCATTGCACCGTACCTGTCCTTCGTCGCCATCGCGGTGTGCTTCTTCGGGCGCCCTCGCCCCGTCGCCCTGAACAAGCAAAGCACAAGGAGATGGCAAGCAAACGTGCGAAAGAGTGATGTGTGGCGAGAAAACACATCACCTGTTTATGGTGGTCGCCAAGCTCGTCCATCATTTGCCTCTTCTCGCGGGAAGCGATAAGATGCGATCGGGAAAAGAAACAGATGAGCTTGCAGAAGGATGGCGGGGGGCGGAACGTTCTTGTTGGATACCTCTCTGTGGCTGCTGTCTTGTCTGCAGGCCTTCTCGTGGGAGTACAAGGTCTCCCCAGCCTGCGTGCTCTGGAAGCTTCTACGCACTACTTTGACTGAGTGGCTGGCACTGGTGGCTCGAGGAGCCGAATGAAGACGACAGAAAGCAACACTGGAGAGAAAGGTCAGAAGAGGATCCTCTTGGCAGTTTGTGTGCCAGTGATCGATCGTGGCATACTTACATGGTGCTCACCTTCTGCATTGCGGATCGACGGCGTAGAGAACGGCTCCTTATCCATCCGGCTTGAATTCCTGTCCGGAATAGGATTGCGCACCAACCCCGCTTCACGACTGAATCCTCTCGATCGCCTTGACGTCGCTTTGCCTCCCTCTCTGATCCCTTGGTGGGGGATTACATGAACTTTTTGGGTGTCCTCACTGCATTCACTGGTGCCGCCCGAGCTGTGAGGGGCCTCCTGAAAGACGACGACAGCCCTCGCGGTGATCACCCTGCTGCAATGCCGAGGATGCCGAGCCTACAACAACGACTCAAGTCGAGTCGCTGCACGAATGCTCAGCTGAGGTCGGATCTTCAGTCCAAGGACCAGCAGCTCCAGCAAAGCCAAGCCGCACAGCAGGGGCTGGAGCAGCAACTGCATTCCACCCGGCTGCAAGGCCAGAACCAGCTGATGGACCTCATGCTCAAGCACCAGAACCAGATGAATGACCTCAACCGCAGCCACAACGAGGACCTGAGACAGCAGTTGAGCAAGAAGCAGGAGGCCGAACTTGCCGAGCGCACTCGTGTCCACGAGGAGGAGCTGCGGCTGTTCAGGGAGAAGGCCGAAGCTGAGAAGAAAGCGGCGGAGGCGGCGGCAGCGAAGGCGGCGCTCAAGGAGGACCGAGAGAAGACACGGAAGCTCCTCGAGGAGTACCCACCTCCTCAACACATGAAGGACGCCATCAAGTCCTACCCCAACGCACAATTCATCGGCGTCAACGGCGTCAACGGCACAGCCAAGACCACCACCGTCAACACGATCTTGGGGAAGGCGGTGGCGCCTGTGAGTTCCAACGGTGAGGGCAACACAGTCAGCAACTATCACGAGTGCCCGGCCGGCCACCCGTTGCACCCAGCCGTGTTCATCGACCATCCAGGTAGTGAGACGCAGAAGGGACACCCGCCTGGACATCTCACTACGTGTGTGTGTGTGTGTATGTGTGTTGGCCATCAGGCGGCTGCAGCGACGAGTATAACGAGCGGGAGTACGGCAGGAAGACCGGATCGCGGTATGGGGATGGCCAGATCATCACCATGAGCGACCGCCCTCGCTCCCTCGACAACAAGGTACCAGGAGCACCTGTACTGTGCGTGTGTGCGCTCGTCTAACGTTGATGTGCGCGTGTGTATGTCTTGTCAGCTCCGTGCTGAGGCAGCCCGCCACAACATTCCAGTGTTCTTCGTGAGGACGAAGATGGACATCACTGTCAATGCCATGGCCCGCGACACGATCCCCAAGACCCCCAAGGCCGCATTCGAGGAGGTGCGCAAGTACTACCGCGAGATGGGCCTCCCGCCCAACCGCACCTACCTGATCTCGGGATGGTACACCCAAGACATCCAGGACAAGACGGACTTCCGCGTGGCAGACTTCTACCGCCTCATGGATGACCTCAAGGAGGCCCTCGACAACAACGTCTCTGCCGATGCCCGAAGGTCAGAAACACGCCCCTCCCCCACCCCCACCAGCACCACTGCTGCACACATGTCGTTGTGCTGGTGCAGGAGGCTCAGGGAGTCGGAGTCTGCGGCCTCTTCTTCGTCCTCGGCGTCCTCGGCGTCTTCTTCGTCGTCTTCCTGAGTGGCCGTCAAGACATCGAGCCGACGAGACACTGCGCACTCGACGAGAACATGTGCAGTGCAAGTGGCCGACTGGCTGATTCAGACCTTTGAAGGGGGTACGTTTCTGCGAATCTTGGTGTCGGTGTGTGGATGTCTGTGTGTGTGGTGTGATAATGATGTTTGTGCATGGTCTAATTTTGCCAATGTGCCTGGCTGGTTGATGCGGGCGGGAGGATGAATGTATGTATGTATGCGTGTCTCCATGTTGGTTGCAGTGTGTGTGCGGTGTGTCTGTGTGCCTTTCAAGTCTGCCTGGCTGGCTGATTGGGACGTGCGTGTCGGGCGACATACGCAGGAGTGCGGTGATGATGTGTCTGTGTGTCTGTGTGTGGTGGCTATGGTGGGGGATAGGGTGAGATGGGCTTACCGCAGGCGTCTGTGTGCCGCAAGTGAAGTGTGCGTGTGCGTGTCCCGCTGTGTGTGAATCGTTTTTGAAGCACTCTGATCGCTGGCTGTGTGTGGCGGGGCGGGCTGGAAAGGTGGAAAACTGGCAGCAGCAGCACCAGTGAGAGCTGAGTTTCTGACGGCTGACTTTATTAAATGCAACGTGTGGGAAGGGCAAGACAGAGAGGAGGGGCGAGGGGCTACTGTCCTGTTCTTGCTGCAGTGGGGCACACACGACAAATGAACGCTGATTGATTGTCGCTTCCTTTTTATCGCAACCACGCGCCCGTTTGTTTCATGACTTGTCTTTCTCGTTGAGACGCAGCAGTTCTCGCAGTCATCTTAAATTTGCGAAAGGCTCGGACATCGTGGTCGAGCAACATTTCAGCCAACACACACACACACCCCGCCCGTCCATGCGTATGCCCTCGGTCTTGAGTTTGTCTTGTGCATCTATCTGTCTACGCCGTGCCGTGCCGTACCACCATGTGTGACATGTGAGTGGAACCTCAATGGCTGCCTGCCAGCATGGGACGTGTCTGTCCAGTTTGTGCAAAAGGCAGCCGAATTACCAACCTCAAAACGCCTTTGCGCTATCCCAAAAGTGATGCCTGGGCAGGGCATCCATCACACCGGCACGTCACTCGTTCCAATTTAGTCAGTGAGTCGATGCCACGTGCAAGGGTGACATCGCCATGTGAAGCATATGTGTGTGTATCAACAGGGGCGCCAAACCCAGACCACCACATCCATCATCCATCCATCCAGAGACTAAACTCCTGCCTCCAGCCCCTCCCTGTGCGCGACGCAACACGTGCAGCAACCATCGATGGATGGGTTGACGGATGGTGCGTCTTGTGGTCAGGCAGGGCTGTGGTGTGCGGCTGTCTTAATCACAGACAGACAAAACTCTCAGAGAGAGAACGAGTAGATATACAGAAACACATATTTATATATTATATATGCCCATTTTCCCTCTTTCTATTGGTGTGTATGGTATCAGTAGAAAAACCCACACAGCATCACATCACAGGCACCGAATACCCACCCGGGCCAAGCCAAACGTGCAGCAGCGAGAGAGACAGAGAGAGAGAGAGAGAGAGAGAGAGGATCCACACGGATTACCCATCAGCCAGCTACTCACTCAACCACCCCACCCACCCATCCCCATCCGGCAGCTACCACGGCACGCACTGCACACATACCGTGCCTCTATGTGTGTCTATGTCTATCCCTCGTCAGGCCGACGGATTTTTGCAGCTGGCTCAGCCGGCCGACGGGTGGGGCGGGTGAGCTGCACACACAGAGGGAGGGGAGGGGAACACAGCAAAGGAAGCGCATGTGTCCTTCTGTCTGTGTGTCGCGTGTGTCCTTCCTTGTTGTGTGTTAGCTGACTGACCGCGGATGGGCGGGTCGTGCGGGTCTGTGTCGCTGCCCCTCAGTACGGTGCAGACGGTACCCAGCACTTCGTATCGTTGAGCTGACATGAAGACACTCAGTCCACTGACCGACCCATCTCGCCCGCAGGGAGTCGTTTCTCGTTTCTCTCTAAATGAGGGAACCTACCCTGTTTGTCGAGTCGCTCCACTGGGAAGCCGACCAGGGCCGTCTGAGCCATCGAACGCGGCCATTCGTCCTACACACACACACACAGGACAACCATCGCTAATCGAATGCGTTTCCGTCCTTCGTGTGTCGTGCCTTCTTCTCTCGTGTGAACGTACCTCTACCCGGCTTTGGTATGTCTTGATGTCGTCGGCGGTGAGTGTGATGGGGAGCGTCCTGCCGCCGAGGTGCCGCGACAGGCACAGCACCTGCTTGGTCTCGGTCCACCCGTCCTTCCGCATGATGCGCGTCGCCAGCTGCAGCTCCTCCTCACTCAGCCCTTGCATGTCGATCGTCACTACCCCTGTCAGTTTCTGGCTCTCGATGGCACTCAGCAGCTGACAGACAGACAGAGGAGCAAAGAGTGTGTTTGCCAAAAAAAAGTCTTTCATCTTTGCTCGTCTGTTCACGGCCTGCGGGTATCTGACCTGCTGCTCGAGTTGGCTACGGTTCGGCCCATTCGCCGCGCCACCTGCTTGAATGCACCAAGCACCACACACACACACACACACACACCAGACAGACGGAAAGCATCTCTCTCTCTCTCTGTGTCAGATCTGTGTCTGCTGATGTGTGTAGCGACACTGCACCCGCGCGCAAGACGGCGCCTCCGGCCGTCTGCAGGCACACAAAGGGAAGGCATCCAAACAGCCATTTTCGGACTTTTTTTCGCTCACCGAGCTGGCCTGCCCATAGGTGCCGCTCTGCCGCTCCGCCATCTCGCTCGGGATGCACCAAACGCCTCACAGGCTCACAGATCTGGCTGGCACGGACCGCGCGCACATGGGGAATCAATCGACGTCTGTGTTTTCACTTGCTGCTTACGTCTACGGAGCAGAGAGGCCAATACAGACTGGGAGCCAGAAACGCGATTCAAGTCGGCATCAAGCTCGCAATTTCCTGGCCGGCCCGGTTTGGCTTCTTTGCTGTCATCGACATTCTGGAATGAGCCACCGCAGAATCTACACATCGATGGATGCATGGAAGTCCTAGGCAGCACACCCACAAGTCAGCGCCACTCAGACGGGGCGAGACGGGAGGGAAAACCGCCATAGACTACACGACACGGCATGAGCCAAAACTGCGGCAGCACTTCCCGGTACCTTCGTGTAAGGTGTCGCCATACCCACACACAGGCGGGCAGACAGGCAGGCAGGCAGGCAGGCAGACAGACAGGCAGCTGTGAACAGATACGGCCCGGTGTGGACAAATAGTATGGTCAACAGAGAGGGGGGCGGGGGATACGCACACACAGCGGACTATACACACAGATGGATAGCTAGCTAGATCAATGCTGGCCGGTAGGCGTCAACCGACCCTTTCCCCTGCTTCCTCCACCCACCCGCACACACACACCGCAACACACTGTAAAGAGAGTGGGCAAGGGTTCGAGAGGGAGTCGGTAGCGCCACGTGGCCCTCAGGCACCCGCTCACGCACATTGGGCCAAAGGCAGTCAGTCCGCTAAGAGTCTGGTGGCAGCCAAAACACCATCACCCCGCACAACACAAATCGATGGATGGATGGATGGCCTAGGCAGCACGAAGTCAGCGCCACTCAGGCGAGGCGGGAAGGAAAACCGCCGTTGGCTACATCGGCAGCAGTCAAAACTCTCGCAGCACACACACGGAGGGAGGGAGGCAGGTGTGATTCTCTCTTATCGACAGAGGGGGTTGGGGAAAGCGCTACCGTAGATGGATAGATGGCTACACCCTTCCCCTCATCCGATGTGTGTGTCTGTGTGTGCGTGCGTGTGGGCTCACGCGTCACCATCCAAAATGCTTCTGAGCCGCAGCTCGGCATAGTAGCCCCACACGGCCGATGGCTTGATGATCTGCCTGATCTCCCTCCCCCTCACGCATCGACAGAAACGCCTCACGCTCATACTCGTCCAGCTCAGACACGCGCTCCGACACCTCCCGGCCCTGAATTGTCACCCCTGTCTGATCGTCGGTATGGAACCCATCAGGCCACAGACTCTCGTCGTACTCGATGCGCTGGTCGAGCGTCGGCACGTTGCCCGTGCCCTCCACCAACACCTTATGACGCGCGCCAGATGGACAGAGCGTGAAGCCCTGCTCGTCCTGCCGCTGCTGAGAGCCGCCACTCGGCACACCACCTGCACACATGCACCCACCGTGTGTGCGGCGATACGTGTCTGTGTATGTCCGTTCCTCTGTCCGTACCATCTTGCTGCTGCTGCTGGTGGTGGTGGTGGTAGTGGTGCTGCTGGCCGAACACGAACGGCGCCACCTGCCCCAGGACGACACGGGCCAGCTGGGTGGTCAGGGGGAAGCGGTCCTTGAAGGGCGCATCACGACTCACACCAGACGCCGGTGGCTCGGTCGTCTTGACCTCTACAGTCACTGCAATCACTGAATGAGAGAGAGTAAGAAAGAGCGGCAAGAAGCGCTCCTTTCTTACCGTTGTGGAGGGATATTCGCCACCCCTCCCCCACCCGTCCAAACTCCACGTCAGAGTCCCTCCCGATGTAAATCCACGCCACGAAGGGGTGGCTGCTGTCAGTGAGCACCAGCCATCGCTCATTCGCATGGTCGCCGGGGGTGGTGGTCGCCACAGTGCACCCCTCCACAGATGTTTGGGGCGACTGGGTCAGCAGGGCATCCAGACGGCCGCCACCGACACGACTGACCGATCCAAGAAAACACACACATCAAAGAAGACGCAGCATATCCCAGCTCCCTGGTCATCCTGTCTGTCACCTGTCGAGGATCTTCTCTGCTGTGCGATGCATCCGGTGAGTCTTCTCGAAGTAGGTGAGGATCTTGTTCGTGGCAAACGCCGACACCGACGCAATGGGGGCCTGCCCCCATCCAGAACCCCCCACCCATCTGCTGCTCCTCGTGGAGTATACGATGTCGCCATACGCTGGGGGGTCGTGCTCGAGTGTGTGCTGCCGACCCGCCGGACCCGGTCGGCCGATGGACAGTTTGAAGGCGGGCTCGTCATTGATGACCCGCACCTGATCGCCGTGGCGGAACAGCTGGAGCCGGCTGCCGTCGCTGAACTGCACATGACGGCCAACCATCATCAGCTGCGCCACTACTGGAGCAACCGACGCCTGCACCCACCCCACCCCCCCACCCACCAACACACACGCAGAGAGAGCAAGAGAGAGAAATTAGGCCATCTTTCACCTCCCGCCCTTAGGTGTTCTCACCTTGTTGGCCTCGTAGGCCTTGAGGTCGTCAGCAGTGGGTTTGATGGGCAGGTTGCAGTAGCCGCAGTTCTGTGCCACCTGCACCATGCCGTTGACCTCGGCCCACGAGTGGCCCTCCTGCATGATGCGCAGCGCCCGCCGCTGGTCCTCCTTACTCAGCCCCACGAACTCGACCACACCAGTGAGGCCCTTGTTGTCGATGGCCTTGAGCAGCTGACAGAGTAGGAGGCAAAGACGGTGACTCCGTGTTGGTCCTGCTGGTGTGCGTTGTCTGACCTGCTGGGCCACATCGCCGCTCGGCTGAGGACCATTCGCCAAACCACCTGCACACAGGCAGGGCCACCACACAGACAGATCTCGTTGTGTGTGTGGCTGATGGGTGTTTCGACACTGTCGGCACCTACCAGCAGCACTGTCGTCCAGCCGGGGATGCTTGCCGCCTCCCGTGGCCGCCTGCAGACACATGAACAGATAGATGGAAGCATCCAAACAGCCCCACCCCGCCCCTCGGCGTCAATCTTCGCTCACCGAGCCTGACTGCCCATCACCCGGGGCGCTTCTTTTCCTGTCCGACATCTCGCTCGGGGGGGATGCACCGACAGAAACGCCTCACAGGCTCACAGATCTGCCACCGTGCAGGCACACGCGCACAGATGTGTGTGTGTGTGTTTAAAGTCTTGACGCTTACGTCTACGGAACAGAGAATCTGAGGCGTACACCCACTGCGCGGGGCCCCAGGCCCTCCTTCGCTGGGGTTCAGGGTTTAGGGTTTAGGCTAAACCCTAAGCCCTAAACCCCAAACCCTTCACCCCTTCGCGAAGCTTGACCTTTGCTGTACGGTTGGGTGTGTGTGATGCGCCTCCGGCATCTCATGGGCGGCTTCACATTCAACACGAAAGGCCTCTGGCAGAAAGAGTCCTACAAAGGCATGGGCAAGGACATCCTCATCGGATCTGCCGGATCTATGGTCATTTTCGGTCAGTGAACTCACAGCGGCTTCCTGTAGACAGAGTGCATTGCGCCTCTTCACAGCTGATTGTTTGTTCCCTCCCTCCCTGCGTGTGTGCGTGTGTGTGTGTGCGTGACGTGCAGGCTGTGGCGATGTGCTTGCGCAGCTGCTGGAGATGCAGCAGAAGGAGCGGCCCGCACTCATCCATCCGCCTCACAGCGGTATGCAGTCAGCTCATCATCATGCGCATGACAATGGCCGGCCATCTCTCGCCACACACACGGTGCAGAAGTCAATAGTCACCTCGCCCATCGTGTTGACACACACACACACACTTGGACTTGCAGATGCCGGCGTCTGGTCTGGACACGCAGCGTCTGGTGGTGGTGGCGAGTCAGGGGTGGATCCTCAACGGGGTCATGCTCACGCCCTTCTATAGAGTACTCGACATTCTCATCGGCGACACCATGAGCGGCAAATTCTTCCCGCGTGAGGGAGAAAGAGAGAGAGGCAAAGAGACTTTCTGTCTGTCTGTCTAGTGCTCAGCTGTGTGTTTCTGTGTGGTTCGTTGGTTGGCAGGCATTCCCATGAAGATCTTCCTGACAATGGTCCTTTACATGCCGGCATCCACCATGATGTTCTTCTTCCTCACGCCGTGCCTCGAGGTGCTCGCCGAGGCGGCCACAACCGCCACCCAGCAGCAGGACCAGCACCATGAGGGGGAGGAGAGTCTGATGCATCGGCTGCAGCAGAGTTTTGCCAAGGGCTGCGAGGAGGGATGGACCGGTGTGTCGCGGCACTTCGCGCAGACCTATGCGCTGGCGTGGCTCATCTGGCCCTTGACTGACTCGATCAACTTTCGGTTCATCCCTCTGACCTATCGGCCGTTGTGGGACAGCCTGGTGCGTCACGAATATGCCCACACCACATCGCCGATGCCTAACTCTCTCTTTCCCGTGTGTGTGTGTGTGTGTGTGTGCAGATCGACATAGTGTGGACGACCATACTCTCGAGAGCCAGTCACTCTGAGCCCAACGGCGGCCAAACCGCCATGCCCCCCTCCTCCTCCCCCTCTCACTTCGATGTACCTCTCTACCGGTACGTAACGAATCGTGGTGTGGCTGTCTCTCTCGCAAACAATCACTTCTTTCGCCTGATATCCTCAGGTCTCCCGATGCAAAAATCGATGGCCGTCTCAAATCGCTGTCAGAGGTGCTGTCAGGTCTCGACCCCGAGCTGGCCCCCGAGCAACTGCGGCCGCCGCCCAGACATCCCCCACCTGACGAGAGGGAGGTTGTATTGGCCGATTTAGTGCACATTTCTGACCCCGCTGAGGTTGAGTTCGACCCGCGGGAGGTGCCGAGGGGGTCGATGACGCGGGGTGGGCGGCTGGAGTGTGTGGGTGAGGGGTTGAGGTGTCCGCTGGAGGTGCACCAGAGGTGGGTGGATAATGTGCCTGCTGATGGTGATGGTGATAGTGATGATGCTGACGTCCATGGCGGCCAGGGGAAGAAAGGCGGGGAATAGCGAGGGGGGAAAGGGTGTGTGGCGTCCAATGAGGGCGAGAAAAGGCATGACGCATGATTGATGCAACTGACTGACTGACTGATTCGGGCGGGTGGAAGGACCAGACGGACAGACAGAGTGCCCTCCGGGATACACACTATCAGTTGGGAGACGGACCGGTCAGTCAAGAAGGCACTGCACACGCCACACCCACCACACCCACCACACCACTTCGATGCCCGCGGAGATGCGTGTGTGTGTGTGTGTCTGTCAAGCAAGCCCCATATATATGGTCGAATGACGGCCCAAAGAACATGCTGCCAGACAGACACCTTCCGGACAAGTGCCTTGGCGAAGTTGGCTTTCGCCAGGGACCACCCGCGCCCTGAGTAGCCAAGGGAGGCGGCCTTCGAGTCTGTAAACGAAGGGCTGAAGAGCTGGTTGCGTTCGTTTGAGCGTTGTTGTCGTGAGAGAGCAACTCCGTACGTATATAGTGTCGTTGCAGTGCTCAGCAATGGGCAAAAGGTCGAACGACACGGTGAGAAAAGAAAAGACGTTCGATGTGACCTTGTTGTCCTGGATATGTATGGCACATTTGTCCTTCCCTGCGTTCACATACCGCCCCCCCATCCGCGATGATTTGCGCAAGGTCACAAAGGACGACACCGCCGCGAGCGAGTAGTATGGCTGATCAGCGAGAGAAGAAAGCTGAGGAGCGCCGCAGGTAAGACTGGTCGACAGACCCAACTAAATTGCTGGTTATCGCCCTTATCCCTTCTAAATTGCTCCCTTGTACGTAGGCCGCTGAGAGGCCGCGACGGTGCTGCCGATGACAACGATGACATGAATGACGGGCGGGGGTTGAGCATGGGCCGGCCGCGCAAGTAAACAAGCTTCTCGAGCTCGGACGCATCGATCAATCCATACACACACACATACGAATGGATAATCTGCTGAGATGCTGTCTTCCTCCAATTGGTCTATGCAGCACACCATCGCCACCACCAGCAGCAGCAGCAGCAGCTGCAGCTGCAGCAGCGGTGCTTCCTCCCCTCGCGCACACGCCCATCCTCAATGCCAACAGTCCAGCAGCAGCAGCAGCGGCGGCTGAAGGGGGCGCCGAAAGCCCCAAGACGCCCAAAACACCCACAGACCAACACCACAAGTAAGTGGGCCGGGCCACCAGCTGGAGGGAAGGAGGGTGCATGGAGTTGTGTGGTGTGCATGTGTGTATCCTTCGTGGGTTTGTATCTTGTTCTCGTCTGTACGTTCGTACAGTGAACATGGCGGCCGACGTGACCTGCCGCTCGTTCAGATGGACACCGACCATCGGGAGCTCAAGGGCTGGCCACGGATCAGCCCACAGACGGTACCTTCAGGCACACATTCACACACACACACACACACACGTGTGTCATTCTCTCTCTCTCTCTCTCCGTGTGTGTTTGCGTGTGTCAGATGTTGGACGTGCTGAAGGGCGAGTACGGTGACGTGGTATCGGAGGGGTATATGGTGCTGGACGCTCGATGGACCGCCGAGTATGAAGGTATGTGTACATGCCGCATGGACAGACAGACACCCTCACACACACAGACAGAGAGAGAGAGAGAGAGAGAGACCACATGCGAAACGGCGTGTCTGTGCTGTGTGGTGTGTGTATGCCATTGCATTGGCCATGCAGGAGGGCACATTGAGGGGGCCATTCATGCATCGAGCAAGGAGACCGTCCGCGATGCCCTCTGGCACCCCGATGGCCGCCCCAAATACGGAAAACAACACGTAAGAAACGAACGCAGTCCATCCATCCATCCATCAATCTGTGTGCATCAAGTGACTGACTGATGTGCTTATTAGTTACTCAATGTCTGTCTGTCTGTCTTCTCATCAATGAATCAGGTGGTGGTTCTGCACTGCGAGTTCTCGCAGGTCCGCGCCGTGGCCATGAAGACGGAGCTCGAGGAACTCGACGAGGACTCAGTAAGTACGCACAAATGAAATGGACGAATGATATAATGGCTGCAGGAACATTATTGCCGTACATTGATTACATTGGTATCTATCCCTCTCTCTCTCTCTCTCTCACTCTGTGTGTGTGTGTGTGTGTGTGCAGGACTACCCCTCCAAGTACATATTGGACGGCGGGTACAACAGCTTCTTCAGGCACCCCGGCGCGGTAAGCATGAGGCCATCCAACACATCTGTCTGTCTGTCAGCAGCGTGTGTACATGTGTGACGTATGTGTGTGTGTGCAGAGCTGCCACTGTCACCCCTGTGACTACCTGTCGGAGCAGTGGCTGACCGGCGACGCCAGACGCCGAGCTGAGGAGGAGAAGAAGGTCCGCTTCCCCGAGCTCTACAAGAACAGGACCCGCCTCGCAAACGGCCCGCCCAAGTTCGAGTGTGGAGAAGCGGAGGAGGCCCCACCAGGCGAGCCAGCCCCAGCCCCAGCGGCCGCCGCCGCAGCCGCCGCCGCCGCCGCAGCAGCTGCCGTCGTATTCGATTCTGAGGATGAGGTAACACCCACACCCCCACCTGTCCACACCCACTTGGGTGTGTGTGTGTGCGTGTGTGTGTGTGTGTGTATGTAGGATTTGTCAGAGGTGCCAGAGGGTAGCGAGATGATCGGCATGCGGTTCAGCTTCATCGGCAGCTTCAGCAACCCCAAGAAGCCATACCTCATCAAAAAAGTCGAGCAGCACGGCGGAGAAATAGAGTAAGCACCCTTAGCACCCACCGCCCCCCCACCAACACACACACACATTCATCCATCCATCTGTGGGTATGTCTGTTGTTTCCTTCCACCCCCCCCACCCGCACACACACACACACGCAGGGAGAAGATGTGTGGCGCCTCTGTGACTCATCTGGTTGCCGCGAGCCGTGCCTCGTCCAAGACGGCCCGGTGGAAGGAGGCCCAGGACCTCGACATACCCATCGTAGTGGTAGGCACACAACCACATCTAGCCTTCCGACACGAGAGATGCCTCTGTGCTGGCTGGCTACCTGTCCGTCAGTCTGAGTTTGTGCTGGCGCTGGCCCTCCGCAACCCCGTCCCCCCTGGCGCCAAGGCATCGCCCGCCAAGAAGCGCAAAGCCAAGCCCAAAGGTGCTACAGCACAGCACCACCACAACCACCACCCACCCCCTGCATCTTCTCATGTGGCTCTCATCTCATTCTCACCGCTCAGCGCGGCGTGCGTCTGTCCGCAAGGCTGCTCGGAAGGGCAAGCCCGGCCGCCGTGGTGGTCGTCCCGGTCGCAAGAATGTCGTCGCCGAGGACGATGACGATGACGAGGCGATGGCGGCGGCGGCAGCGGCAGCGGCCAAGGACGATGAGGAGGAGGAGGACGAGGTGAGACGGGGCGGCTGGGATGGAATGCGGTGGGACGGCATGCCATTCTTCATTGATGCCGACTGTCAGGATGAGGAGGATGACGACGATGACGAGGAGGAGGATCCCAAAGCCAAGGTCGGGGGATGGGATGGAAGGGTCGGGGCGGACTTTGGTCTGTCCATGCTCGCATGGCATGCCTTCTCGGTGTGTGTGGTGTGGTGTGTGTGTGGTGAATGGTGCAGGGCATCCTGCTGCGGCAGCGCAAGTACCTGCAGCCGTACCTTCTCGGCGGAGGACACGGCGACAAATTGGGCAGAGTCAAGGTACGTACACACACACGCAGAGAGAGAGGGAGAGGGCGAGAGAGAGGGAGAGAACTGCATGTATGTGCGTGTCTGTCTGTGTGTCTGTTCCCCCACTTACTGTAGGATTTGCTGGCTGACGAGGACATGCAGGGGGAGGGGGAGGCAGCAGGTGCTGCTGCCGCTGCTGATGCCGCCGCGTCGTCATCTCTGGCTCTGTAAGATCGAGAGACCGACAGACACTCAGACACTCAGACACACAGAGACAGACAGATTGTCACATGTCGCCCGCACCATGTGCACATCCCATGTGAGTATTTGTGACAGATTTTGACGTGTCCATCATGAATACATTTCATGTGTTGTCGCTCGCAGTCAATCACTCACACCTGCCTGCCACCCAAACACACCCACACGTGTCTAGCTACACAAAGTCTCACCTCGACAACAGTACAAAGCGTATGCAACCAGCCCACCAATGACCTGCTTTGTCATTGAATGACACCTGCATTCGCTACCTGCATGCTGTGTCCCATATCATCCCGCGACTTACAAAAGGCAGCAGGCTGCATGTGTGGGTGTGTGGGTGTCTGTCTCCATGTAAGTAGTATTTTGTCATGTAAGTAGTAGGTGTCAACAGTTCAGCAGTGCCTTTTTGCGTTTGCGTGTCCCATCCGATGCGCCAGTCATCTGTCAGATGCTTGCACACACACACTTACGTGAGTGAGTGAGTGAGTGAGGGAGGGAGGGACGATGAGAGGCTGCGGGTCGACTCGACAGGCAGGACGGCAAGGCGGCAAGGCAGAGACAGACAGGGCGGGGTTGGGCAGCCCGGCCGCTCTACCCTACAGAGATCGGCAGACTTTTGCCTTCATGCATTGCGATGCATTGTATCAGTTGTACTCTGCTCGCCTCTCCATCTCATCCACGTCTGTCTGTCTGTCGATGTGTGTTAAATGCATTCATTGCCCATGGATTTATTATAAGTGGCAAGTGTGTGTGTGTGTGCGTTTGTGTATGTGCGTCGGGGGTGTGTCCGGCGGGTGAGGAGAGAAACCCCCCCGGCGCCCTTTTTCGCGACGAGTAGGCCGCGATAGGTCAGTAAGGAGGGTGACTGGCCGGCCGAAAGTGGCAAGGAGGGCAAGGGCACTGTACAGACCTAATATGCGTGTGTGCTGTCTTGTGTGTTGTGTGAGTGTGTGTCGAGTCGATGTGTCCACTCGTGCTCGCTCGACTCACTACCTGTCTGTCCCATGTGTTGTTGCAATGCGTTGGGTGGACGGAGATAGGCTGCCGATTTTGAATCCAAAGTGAATTCTGAAGACATCCAACAATCGGTCACCCACCCAACACTGAGTAGTCGAATGCATCAATGCATTGACAGCGACGTGTCAATCCATTCAAGCCTCCATCCGTCATGCCTCCTCTTCGTCGGCGCCGTGCTCCTCGTCCATGGCCTCGCCCTGCATGGCCTCCGAAGCGTCGCCCAGCTCGAGTGGGTCCTCCATCTCATACACGGACAGGTCGAGCAGCAGGCCGCTCTCGTCCGTCCACTCCTGAGACAGCAACGGCTCGTACACACGAGAACCCCTGATATCCACACACACACACACACACAGAGAGAGAGAGAGAGAGACGGTGGATGTGGGCGGGTGTGTGTGTTGTGTCTCTCTA